GGATGAGGGCGTTTGGTTATGTAAAGCAGTCAGGCTGGACGACTTTTCCTTTGAGGCCGAGAATTTTTTATCTGTGGAAGGGGAGTAAAGAAGAGCCAACAGAACAGACAGCAGTTTCAGGGCTACAGCGTGAGGTGTTTGGTAGCTTGGGTGGCGGGGCTTAGGAGAGAGTGAGGAGAGAGCGTCAAGATCGAAATTTGGGGACAAGGGATTTCGGGAGAAGGAGGGTACTGGTAAGTTTATTCTGGTAGAGCTAGCATTGAGCAAAGTGGAGGCGCTCTGCACCTCAAACTTTGCCGTGGTAGGATTCCTAGTAGCCCTTTGGAGTGAGGTCTGATCGGGAAAAAATTTATGGTTTTAAAGAAGGTACTTTTGGCAGTGGTGTATCTTTTAGGTATGAATTCCTTGGCTAATAATTCGTTGGGGACTTTGAAAGGAAGGGGACAGTACTTCCGCTGGGATTTTTTACGAAGTCGAACGCAGTGGCAAGGGTAGTTGTCCATGTTTGAGGCTTCTAAGATGATATTCTTTACTTGAGTCAGGGGAATTTTAGCTGGAACATTAGAGACCACTGCACTTCTTTGAGTTTCAGATGCTCTTGGAGGTTTCATAGGCGANGTGAGTAAGGTTACACAAAGGTTGATATATGGGGTCCATTAGGAAGACCAGTGGAGCTAGAGTTGAGGCTATTAGTTCTAGCGACTCCAGTCTATTGATAAGGTTGGTGGTACTATTGTCAACCTTAGAGGTTATTTTCAAAGCGTCACTGAACACGTCAACTGGGGGGACGGAGCAATCGTTAAGAGGAGCGGAGGGATGGCTGGATCGGAGCGCACGTCTGTTAGCGCTCTGCATTGAGGCGCGGCATGCTGTTAGAGGGAGCTAGCAACGAGATTTTGTCGGAATTGCATCGATAACTTGGTAGTCGCTGCTAGTGGTGTACCGCAGTCAGTGTCAAGGATGGCTCGTTTGGAATGGTTAGCGTTAAAGAGGAGGGCAATAATGGTAAACCGACCGCAAAGGGAGAACACGTTGAGAAAGCGCTCAACAATTAAACGTGGGGTAGGGTATCAGATTCAGCAAGAAGATCTAGAGATGTGACTTATGGGGCAAAAGTGAAGGGGATATAGAATTCGTTGAGAACTGAAAAAGGAAATCAAAGCGTTAACAAAATCCTAGAACTGCACGTTAACTTTAAATCGCGCGACGGAGCAAGAAAAATGTACGAGAATCCGTACTGTAATGCTCATCACTGGATTGACTTCAACCCGAATTGGGGGCACCGATGAAATACACGAGGATTTGGTAGCAGCAAATGCTTATCTTTATTGTTAGAACTAGAGCACATTTTATAGAAAGTATTAGATCATATTATTAGCGGAAGGACCGTCGTCCAATCACGTAACCGTTTGTGCAGGCGCATCACATTTACTAGCTGGAATGTGATGTTCGCCCGATGTACAATTGGCGAACTTTGATTAGATGACATGAAGCTTTACCTGGTCTTGCCTGGAACGCAGTTACACTGGTCTGGATCATCACAATCATCTACCAAAAGGAATCTACGTGCCCTTTTAAGCACCTCTTGTGTGGTACACATTAGTTCATTATCTTCAGCCACCGTTGAGTTTGGTGCCCTATAAATGCAAACAATGCCCATAGTTTCCGGGCCAACCCCTAGGTGGCAAGCTGTAACCTGAATATTGCGATCAAAGAACTGCAGTGGCCACCCCATTGGCGAGAGACAGTCCGCACAGTTAGGAGGACTCCACATCCCTGCCTCCCGTCGACTATATCTCGTCTGTATTTGGTGTACTCCTGCATACTCATGACAGAATCTTCACTCTTCACCCAAGTCTCAGTGACACGAACGACGTCTGCTGACCTGGTCTTTAGCTCCCCTCAATTGCCCCGAAGGCCGCGAGCATTTGTATACCAGACAGCCACATCGGGGGACCTGAGATTTAATTTGCTGAAGCCGCTTCTTGTTGGGGTGCCCGAGGGAGAGTCAAGCATTTTTCTTTAAGAAAGTGATTCCTGAATCCTTTTCACATCCCATTTAATGCTATCATTCTTAATTCCGATGCCCTCAACGCTTAACTCGTACTTCGCTCCATCTTCTGAGGGAGCCGGAAATTTACGTTTCACCAGTGCCTCTTGAAAGATAGCCGCAGCCTTGTCCTCGGCGTATTTGTAACAACCATTACCCTGCTGGCTGACCTAGGTCTTTGAGTGTTTGAACACGTTTTTGCTGCCCAATTAGGTACGATTATCGGAGTGTCACTCTTAGGAGCCTCACGCGCAGTTTTGCTCCTTTCTGTCAAATGAAGCCGTCGCTGATCATCATTAATAGCAGTCTTTTGGGGCATCGTTGCCTTTGAGCAATGATACCCTTCTTTGGAGCATTGGGTTTAGTGGCACCTCTCAGTTGGCCCATCTATGGCTCTTTTACGATTTTAAGAGTTACCTGGTGTAACCCTATGCAGTCTTTGCATCTGTTTAGTCGATCCTGTTGTTGGCACGTTCGTTTGGACCTAATTTATTTTTACCCCAGCCACTGATTTTGTGAGCCCGAGACTGGTGTGACCCTGGGTTCTTGAATGCCTGAGTCAGGTGTGACCCTCACACGGCTACCTGACACTATGTCCTTCCTCAACGCACTCGAGAGTACGGTGCCTCTGATGTACAAACTGGGAAAGACTCCTAAAAGTAGCATTGGCTCAAGCGCTTTATCGCCTTTTTATAAACCAATGCGGTGGCACTTAACAACCAGAGCTTTTGCAGGTATCCCAATGATAGGGGTTCTGTCCTGGATGAATCGCCTATCTGATTCCTTTGTCGCCTTGCTTTTGCGGATAAATGGCTCTCTCAAAATGTGGAAGACAAGAGTTCTCGTCCTACTTAACATCATTTGAATAGAGTTCTTTACCGTGGATAGTTCTCTTTCAAGGCTTTCATCCAGAAAGTAAGTACTGCAAGCTCTCCAGACGCTTTAGCTTTCTTTCCGGCCGTCTGGCTCCTTTGTGGTTTCAACTTAAGCCCTACAGACCCAGTAGATTTATCACCGGTGAAGAATGAACAGACTGCAACTAGTGCCTTCACAATGATTTTCACTCTGTGAGGAAATCATTGAAAAAGTGCAATCATTAGGAAAACACTGCTGGATAAAACAAATACACGGGTAAGTTAGCCAAAAGCGATTTGGGAACACAACTTGAAAAAGTTAAACCTGCTGAAATATAACCTCTAAAACTGTTAGAGTTTAACACTTGGAATAGTAAGCAGTAAAATGTTTAGTGTGAAAGCGTGAAATATCTATAGATATTTCATTAGTACAGAGCCAAAATCTTTACATACCAAGAACAATTCAAAAATTTGAACCACGCACGAACGTACCGTACAAGTCTTGAAGTAACTCTGTGGCTCGAGGTTGACTCTCAATGATCCCGAATCCTTGATGGTTTGTTGCTTTCTGTTCGTGCAGAATTCAACTGAAAAATCAGAAAAACTGGAGGGGCACTATATCCTCTTGCCCGGGAACTGGCGATTCTGGTTATTCTGGCACCATTATTAGTTAACGTAACAACGTGCTATAGCAAATAGGCAAAAGCATAAATAAAAAAGAGCTATAAAATTTTTGTTTTGTCGCTTAATGTTTTTGTTTTTAGCTTTTTGGGGTGAGGGGCTTAAGAAGAGGTAATTAAAACTAGATACTTATTGAATCGAGACTTATGACGCTTTGCTTGTTAAGGAGCCTATCTCTTCTGCGTTCCAAATTGAAATTATACTGAAAGTGAAAAAAGATGTGCGAAAGATGATGCGGGGTTGAGGTTTGTATAATTTTTGCTATTACCCCGTGTTCCACCCGTGAGGGCTAGAGTGAATAGCTTATCAACTAGATCCGAGAACAACAGGTGGTGTAGAAGAAATAAGCCACCTCTAATTCAGCTGAATTCCAGAGGATACAGACCAAGCTCCACGGAACTGTCAGGATAGGGTAGGTTTTGCATCCCGACCACCGCTTTCGTTGCCGCTCTTTGAACTCGTTCAAGAGCATCCCTATCACGGATCAGGCCGGACTGAACAACTTGAATACCATATTCTAGAAAGGGACGGATATAGGTGCCATAAATGAGTGGAAAATCTTTCTCTGTGATGTGTGTGAAAGACCTTCAAAAAAGGTGAAGAACACTGAAGGCACATTTGCTGGCTAACGGGTTATGGTGTGGAAAAGAAAGGTTACTATTTAACCAGAAACCTAGGACCTTATGTAAGTTGGTAAGCTGAAGAGGTTGCATGCCACTTATAATAATAATATCAGAAACGGTATATTTCACGAAGCCCGTGAAGCATGCTACTGCGTATAAATGAGACGAGACAGTGAGTTTTCAAAGGTCAGGCCTACACACTTGTCATCGTAATTGGGTAGATTCTATTCAACGGATCAGTGTTTATTAGCATCAATGGATGTCTGTAGCTTGCAGGTATCTGTGCTCTAAATAGTGACATAGCCTGCATACATAGCGACTTCTGCAGGTAATGCACCAGGTAGATTGTTACTGTAAATAAGGAACAGAATAGGACCGAGAACCGGACCCTGAGGAACACCGGTTGTAATAGGACTAGGTTAGGATAATGTACCGTTAACCCTTTGGAGGGTTGTCTGCACATACTTCCGACATTAGTGAGAATACTCGTAGTCGGCCACTGCCACTGGGTGAGAACAGTCGGTACTTTGTTGGGATATATTGACACAGGTTCCTTTAGCTTCCGTAAGGCGTCCAGGCCGAGAATGAAATCAATTATCTCAGCGATCAGAAATCGAATTGGAATAAAGCAATTTTTCGTTGATCGAAACAAAGGGAACTTGTGAACCGTAATGCCGATACATTGCACCGTGGTTTCACGAAATTAGGCTTCCAGTTCCAAGCATTTCAGTTGGAACTATAGATTCGGGCTCAATGTTTCAGCAATGAATTTATGCTTTGTGCCTGACTGGAATGTTACATCGTGGTATAAGAACCAAGCACATTGATTTCGGTTTCGAAGGGAAAGCACCGGGTTTGCTACTTGTTCCGCGGTGGCTCTACAAGACTGCAACGGCCTGTCTACACACTCTGAATATGGCCAGTTTTCCCGCACATATGATACTTGGCATTGCGGAAGCGGCAAATTGGGGCACAGATGGTAAACTCTACATGACAAACACGGGTTGATATGTCTAT